CCAGAAGAGTCAAGTACTACAACCACTACAACTGATACTGTTACTACAACTGATACTATTACTTCAACTCAGCCTCAATCTGAAACTACCAGCACCGAGTCCAGTGATGTCACGTCTACAACAATTATTACAACTACAATCACTGGTACTTCTACTATTGAAACTACTTTGACAACAACTAAAACAATCACCACCATCTGCTCAACTAGTATCCCCACAACAATAGTCATCACTACTGAATATCCTACTACATTAACTATTACAACAGATACTGGTGGATCCACAGAAACTATCACAGAAGTTTCAACAAGGACTTTGACATTAACCAGTGTACAAACTTCAAGTACTTTAACAACTACTACCGTTGACACCTATGTCACCACCATTACTGTTCCATGCACCACTGTTGAAACAATCACTGTCCCAACTTCTGCAACTGAATCTACAACTATCATTGTTTATNGGTTGTTCGTACTTCAACAATACTTCCAGATGTTCCAGATGTTACTGTAAGTGTTGTCACTGACACTATTCTGGAATCGCACACCGCTCCAATTCCTCAAGAATATGACGATGGAGCAAATTCTAAAAGTCTTCACGTTCTCGTTGCAATGCTTGCTTTTATTAATGTTATTTTATGATTTCAATTTCTTCTTGACGGCTTTTACGATTTATATAACACTATAGCTTGTTTATACTAGAAAAGAATAAAAAAAATTGTCGTTCTATTCAGTTACGCTTTCTAAATAACTTCTGTATTTATATATTCTTCCTCTTTAACAGGTTGGACAACCAACACTCGATTTACGTCCCGATGTTGTAATCATCATTTCGTGGTCCGCTCCTGTTGCTGAAATCTTTTCCCGAACTAGAGGGTCTTGTTCCGGCGATTCTGGATTATGCTATGCCAACTACTACTGTATACGATCGAGCAGTGTCTACGTTGATTATGAGCAAGATAACTGTACTTGCTGTTATTCTTTCTGTAAGTTGAAGATCTACCAAGGTATCGTTTATAATGGAATCCTTTAAAATTTTTTTAAAAAAATGGGTTTATGGTTGTTGATAAGCTTGATTTGAACATAATATAATAAAACCTAAAAAAAAGCTCAATCCTGTACGAGATTCGGAAATACTCTCTAATTAACGGCAAATGAGATGGAAAGTGGCAAACTAGCCTCTATCTTCATAGATTTATTGATTGTCTTCATACTATAAATGTCAAGTAAAGTAAGTTTCTAAAAAATCAGATAATACCACCTTTGATGAAGAATGCATATATACATTACTTCCTTGCTTTGCACAATAAATAAAACATTGTCCGTCCCTGGCTGTCGCTTTCCTCTTGATGAAAGAAGTTGCTTCAGATTCAAGCAATTTCATACCTAAATGATTCTTCCCATCTTCGTTCATCAACTAGGTGAATCAAACCCAAATTCCTGTCTACGAATATCATTCAAGAACTTTTTCCTAAATAATAAATGATCAGTAGTATGATGATCTAATAATTCCACCTCTCTTTCGGTATATAATTTTTCATCCTGCAGAGCTGTCCAAACACCCGGCATATCATCAATTTCCAATAGTTGATACATGGATGTATTTTCCTCCGTCCCCGAAATTACCGCCTTAACTCCCTGGGTAAAACGTTCACAAACATCGGGTATAAGTGAAATATCGGCGCAGGTAGCATAGACAATATGACTGATTAAAGTTTCAGTAAATCCAATTGGTTTTAATTTATTGAAGATCTCAACCACATCTTGAACATTGGCAATTGCTTCATGGACTTTGATACTGACATTTCCACTTTTGATATATTGAAAACTTTCACGGAAAAGTAAGTCGTTTAACCCTGTTGTATGATCAACATACTTTAATTGAAGAGGGAATTGAGATTCGGTGAGATGTGAGGATTGCTCGTTTAATTGTGTTGTCAGTTGAGAATCTTCTTCTTCATCCACAAATGTTTCTTGTAATTTTGGTACTTCGATTCTATCAAATCCGGCATGTTTAGATATTAACTCATCATCAATATTCAAAGCTGATTCATCGATTTGTGAACTAGCAACCAGACCACTCACATGCACACCACTAGATGAAGGTTGTGGTTCTTTGTTGGTTCTCTTGGGAATTGGTTTAGCTTTTGTTGCGGGCCTGGATATAACAGTACCCTCATATTGACTAAGTTTTAATAACGGTTTTGGCTCTTCTCCCTTTTGGATACATTCTTCATAATATGCAATATATTGTGGAATCATGCCAGGAGTAACATATCTTCTAAACCTATCTCTCCAAGAATGTAAACTATGTTTTGGATTCTTTCTATAAGTTCTACTATAAAAAGTATATGGTAATACCACAAGATCATTTTCTAAATCTACTTGGATCCCTTTTTCTAAAATATAATCCTTTGCTTCCCGACAAAGCATATAATCATCCTCAGCGGTATATTTTTGTTTTAATGTATCTGGTAATTCATCAATCCCTAATTTAATATATTGACCCGTAATTTTATCTTTAATTAATTTATCATTTGCATCCAATTTATAAACAAATTCCAATCTTGGTTCTAAATGTTTCCTAAACCTTGCCCGAATTGAATTCCCTGTATGACCTCTCAAAATATCTTCTTGAGCCAATTCGTTAAAGAATTTATGTGAATGTCTAAATCTTGGATTTAATCTAACTCGTTTAAGTATAAATTCATCTTTTTCAGGAGTGAATCGATTATGTCTCTTCAGGCCAGTAGCAGTAGTGGGTTGCATGGCAACACTTGCACCTCCAACTGTAATAGGAACACCATTCACATATCCATCTAATGGAAGTAATCGATTTCTGTTAACACAATCATCAATATAATTCAATCGAACAGTATGAGGACCAGCATTTTCATCATTATTCAAATAAATGGTGGTCGGAGTTGGGTTGTCCGTAACTATCCCACCGTATTGGATAATCAAATTACGATATCGTTCACGATATGGTTCTGTGTAAGGGATTGTAAATATGATTGATTTTTCATCTTGATCCACAAAGATATTTCTGGATTCAAATTGATATTGTTGAGCATGATGATGATGTTGGTGATGATGTTGTGTAGCGGCAACCACTGCAGCTGCTGCAGCTGCTTCAGCAGCAGCTTGTGTTACTGTATCTTCATATGATAACGAGTGGTAACTCATTTTACTTCTTTGTAATTTTTTTTTGGTTGCAAAAACTGAATTGATAATGTTTGGATGTTTAAAAGTTGATTGTATAATTGTTGGTACGTAAATGATGGGTGTTTGGATGTTTTGGTTGTTTATTTTTTTTTTTTGAATGATCAAAAGTGTCGTGTACTTTTTTCAAAAACACAACATTGGAGGGTTACCCTGCTTTGGGTTGTGTTGTTGCAAACACCGAGAACAGAGAAAGCAACTTGTAAATGAATGGCCATGTCCAATGTTAGAAGTGATGTATGTATATATGGATATGTATTTATTAATTACTTAAACAATATTTATGTTTTAAACATATTACTTAAAACAAAAAAGAAGTTAAACTATAATAAAATTATTTACAATAAATAGAGATCACCAATCAAACCAATCGAAGTAAGTAAAACAAATGCACTAGAAACAATTGCACCAATACGATAACCTGATTCAATACTTTCCAAATCTTGAACAAATTCCTTCTTGACTAAAGTTTCTTCAACTTCTTCATCAATAGAAATCTCTTCTTCTACGTGAGTTGCAGCAGCAGCAGCAGTTTGAGTAACTTCTGGAGAAAGTTGTAATGAAGTTGGGGTGGAAGTACCAGATTCATCAGAAAGATGAACATATGATTTACCTAAATCGTCATCACGAGATACAACTTTAGCAACCACTTCTTCTTCTACTTGTTGTGCTGGTGGTTGCTCTGGCTTTTTTACCTTCTTAACTTTTTTATTTGATTTAGTTTTTAAAATCTTCTTCTCGTGATTTAAACCTTGATAATAAACACAAATTAAACTTAATGGTGCACCAATAGCAGAATAAATCAAATAAGGATGTTTTGCAGAATTTGGACTATAAGAATAAGCTAATCCAAATAATCCAGTACTGAATACACTTAAAGTAATATTAATTAATCTTGAATTACAAATGAATTGATATACTTTAGATGATGTTTCATGAAATGTTGAAATTGAATTGGTTGATATTTTAGTTATTAAATCTGGTATCTTATTTAATGCTTGATAAATTAATGATGATGATAATAATCCAAGTGATCCAAATCCTAATACTTTTATAGTATTAACACAAGTTCCTGCTGTCATTGTATAACCTATATATTATGTCTGCGTATATACTTTACTCTACTTTTCCTTCTTCTCTCTTCTTCCCTTTATATAAAAGTAATCAAAGATAAGGAGGGAGGAGGGGGGGTGTACACTTAAAAATAGCAAAACAAAAAGAAGGGGGAGGCAAATCTTTTTTTTTTTTTGCCCTTCGGGTGTTTTAATAAAACAAATCTCACATTAAAAAATTCATTCCCCACCAAATCTTTTTACACCTATCAGTTCACGTGACTTCGGCTTTCTCCACAACGCCTAGTCTATTCTTGCTGTCTTATTTATTGTAAATTGCTATTAGTTATAAGACACGTTTTTTTATAGTACATTCAAGAACATTATTATCGCAAAACGTAGGTAATTGTCTAGAAAGATAATTTATTTATATATATTGTACTTTAAAAATCAACGAATATGAAAAAAATGTATGAAAAGAAATAAAAACGTAATATGGATAGACCTTGAACCCCCGACCCCGCCGGAATGGAATATAATACATAAAGTCATACTTAGAATGCGCCGTTTAGTTTAATTTGTTTGTTTTGTATTAACATGAATAATCTTCTTTAACGCCAACCTCGCATCTCCTGAATCTTCACTTGATGAAGTAGATTCGGAACTATCACCTGACCCATTGGTACCACCAGCACCAGCACCACCACTAGGCATATTTTCTTTATTATGCCCATTATCATTGATCAAATCGGTTATGTTTACAGTTTCTCCGCCTTCTTTCTTAATGCCCAATTGCTGTTGTTGTTGTTGTGTTGTATTTTGTACTTGTGGGCGTACTACTTCTAATCCAGCATCTGCTTGGAGCTGCTCCTGTTGCAGATGCTGATGTGACATCATCTGATGCTGTTGTTGATATTGCTGTTGATGCATTATTGGAGGAGGATGTGATTGTGATTGTTGAGATATAAAGAAATCTTGATTAATTAAATGAGCACCATTTAAATTAGTTGTCCTTTTTGGACTATTTAAATTCATCATTGAATACATCAATGAATTAAATTGTGGAGTTAAATTGAATATAGGGGTTAATCCAGTTGACCCAATATTAGAAGAAGTATTCAAATAATTACTTAATGAATCCTTTGGAGTTTGTGGTATGAAGATATTTTCAGCAATTGTAGATAATTGTTGTTGTGACGACATATATGGGGTGGAATTAGTCATTTGGGGTAAGATTCCAGTTATATCAGAATTATATCTTCTTAAAGGGGGAGGAGGGTGCTCTTCTTGATCTTGTTGTAATTGTTGAAGGTGTGCCATTGATTCAATTCCAATAACAGAATTTGAATGAACTAATTTTGGAACCCAAGTTTTTTCTTGTTGTTCTGTTGTTTCTTGTGGGCCCAGTTTTGATTCTCCACTAGCAGCAACAGTAAGAGCACTGCTACTATTTGGAGGAGTAGCAAAGAAATCACTAGATAATATTGCCTTACCCAGATCATCAATCATTAATCTCAACAGGAAATCTTGTGAAGAGCCGCTAGTATCACATGATTTTGCTTTCTTTTGATCATCCCCGGTATTACTCTTCTTTGTAGCTTTATCAGAAAGGGAAGCAGCAGGTAATAAGTTTGATTTCGTGGGAGATTCCTTGGTTGACGATTTACGTGATGACGAGGAGGAGGAAGAAGATACTGGTAAATAATTATCATAAGGTATTACCCCTTGCTGATGCATTTCTGTAGGTAATCTAGGAACCATCATCATCGTACCTTCCACTCTTGGAGGAGAACTAGACAAATTCTGTTGAATAGCTGATGGAGGTGTAGCATCGAAATAAGCAACATGTCCAGGATGACCAGCGGCCGTCTCATTCGATTGAGTAATCAATGAGATGTTTTCCATGACTTTTGAATTGATTGGATGATAATGATGATGAGGAGTATCCAATGATCGTTCAGCAGCTACTGAAGATAATGGAGTAATCAATGGGTTAGTATGACCATGACCATGACTACTCATAGATTTTGATTTCTTAGCTAACATGGGTGAATTCCCTAATGATGAAGCAGTTGAATTCTTACGTTTTCTTCTAGTTGATCTAGTAGTTGGTGATACTCTCATTAATGGAGTGAAAAAATCAGGAGCACCTTGTTTAACCATCAGATTGGAATTAGATTCAGCCGAGGGACTATTACTTAATGGAGACGTATTGACATTAATATTTATAGTAGTTGTTATCTTATTTGATAACGAATCGGGTTTTGGAGGTCTTCCTCTTTTTCTTTTCACCGGTGGAGCTGGAGGTGGCGATGCTGATTCTTCTACTACTATTGGAGTAGGTCCATTATTATTGACGATTTGGTGTTGAATTTGATGATTTTGATGATTTTGAATTGGATGTAAGTTATGATCTATTGGATGTGAACCAGATGAATGGGGTAAATAATGATAGTTATGTTTATCGGACATAATAATTGGAATTGATACTGGAGTTAGCACAGGGTATGCTTGATCATATAATGGTTGAGAATACATGTAACGTTGTATTTTATATTGTAGCCCCAAAGAAAAAAATTCAAAATGGAAAGTAAAATCAAATAAACTTAAAAAACTTTCAATTTATTCAAGATGGGGAAATTTAATAATCCAGTTATTAAAAATCACAATGAATAAATTTGTGACAATTGAGTGGAAGTTTATATTTGGTCTGGTTTGGTTGTAGTGCTCACTAACTAACTTATAAGGTGGGAGGGGAATGAGTGAGTGAGTGAGTGAGAATTGAAATTTCTAATAAATTTTGAACGTAACGAGTGAATGAAGGGAATTTTGGGTTAAATTGGCTTCAACTTCTTAGTGGTGATTTAGTTCTACTCTATCTAATTCTAACTGAATGTAACTAATAATACCTCCTTCTTAAAAAAAGTAAAATTTATATTAATTAAATTCAATTTGGGGTGGGATATCTGTAAAATATAAATAAATGGAAGGAAGGAAGGACGGAAGAGAGAGAAAAAAATTGACAGTGAGAGACAGAAGTACGTGTGAATTTAAATTGTACATGTAGCATTTGAAAAATATTGAAAAAAAAAAATAATAAAATAAAAAAAAAAATAAAAAGAACTTAAAATTCTTCAGATGTTATAATTAAAATTTTCAATTTTCTTTGTCCGGTTTCATCAACGGCAACGGCCAATTACGGTGCTAAGACTGCTACTTATGGACATTTCTGGCATGTGTTAATATAATGTCTTTGTTTGTAAATGATAAAACAATTAAAATACTATTTGTTTAGTTACAATAGATAGATATTTGGGTGTGGGAATAAAACGGTGGGTGAGAGAGCAATGATTAGGCATAATTTCAAAAGCAAACAAAAAAACAAAATAATAAATTGTCTAATTTATTATTTAATTAGGTTTCTGTAACAGGCAATATTTAACGATTCGAGACTATAAAGATACAAGCATACGGATATGACGTAATACACACCTTTATTGATTAGTTCAATCGAGAGATAGCAAAAGAACCAACCACAATTTTTATGTTCCTTGGTCGTTGTAAGAAATGCCGAGGGGAAAACTTTAACTTACCAGCAGGGGTATACAATAAGAAACTATGAGGCTAAGATTTTTCTCTCTTTCTCTCACTTTTTTTTTTTGCTCATTCTCAATTGCTCCCCCCTATTCCGCCCTTTGAGGTGAGAAATTGCATTAGGAAATGGTTATGTAGCATTTACTAAACCCGGATCACAGAGTAAAGCCAAGGTTACACTTGAAGAAAACGTCCCATATTCATTCGTCAACTGACATTTATTTTCTTGGTTTGTTCCCTTGCATTCAATTCTATTCGATCTTGAGATCAATTGCAGCTGAACGCCGAATCATACTTGTACCAACATCCTCTGGTATTTACGGGTAATCCTCCCGATCTCATTTACCAGATGAAAAGTAAATGCAAGCAGGGGATCTTAATTTCCATTTATTATCAAAAGAAAAGTTTAAAATATGGGGTAATATTTGACATTATGTATGCTTCTTCAACGGTTGTATGTAAAATTTGAAAATTTTTCAATTTTGATAATCAAGCTTTTTTTTTGTTTTGAAAATAGACGTGTTAATTTAACCCAATTAGGAAATGTAATTGAATAAATTATTTTTTAACGCAATAATAATTAATGCGATCGAAACGATCTGTTGCATATTTTATTTATTTACAACGTGATGGGAAAAAAATAATAATAATTTCATAAGGTTGCTGGTTAGTGGGTTATTATAACTTTAAATAGTCTAGATCATTCTTAACAACCACTGGTTTCATAGAAGATCTGTTGATAAGTAAACAATAGTTCCATGACATGTAGTTACTTAGTACTGTATCTCAAAAATTCTGCTTCTTTTTGACATCAAACTTATTCTAAAAATAAATAATATGCAACGATATGGTTGCTAAAACCAACAAATCTAAACTTTTAGAGATCTAGGTCATCTTACACACACTAACAAAAAAAGCAAAAAAATCGCATGATTCCAGACCTCACTATTTCCACACCCACACGTCTCGGATGTTGAAATCTCTCTCTATCTCACCCCCTTGAAATTATTAAAACCCCTTTGAAATATCGGACATCCGGTCCTTTGCCCTTAGCGCCAGCATAAAAACGTTTGTTGGTCCAATTAAGTTTTTGGTTGCAATTTTACCCCAAGGTTTTTTTTTTCTTGCCACGGTTTAAGGAAAAGAGAGGTTTTAAGAAAAAGAATTGATTGTTTTTCTAACATGTTGTCTTAAAAAGGATTCATCTTGATTGTTATTGGATTATGCTTTTTCTGGGCACAAGTAGAACTTTATTGGAGTGGCTGGGGGGAGAGGGGGGGGCTTTAGGCAAGAAATCTTGTGTCCGAGATGACATTTTCTACACGAACTACAATGGTAATGAGTTTACAATAGAGGATGAGAATAGGAAGAAGCACATAATTCTAGTAGAAACACTCATGTTCTTACAAGGATCTTCTGGCCAACACCTTTTTTTTTACAAGAAATGGTTAAAACCGTATAGATTACCTATACACACTCATATATAGAAAACCCCTTAACACTCCATCGGAGCAACGCACTTGTCCGCTTTGCGGATTTTGGGGTGCCTTGGATCTAGGTGTTCGTAGCCCCGTACCTGTTGTATCGTGGGATATTGGTGGTCTCCGCACCACCAAAACCTCGCTCGGTGCGAGTAAAGAGTCCTGTAGTGTTTGATTTTTGTAGTTCATAAGAGTAGAATTATTTAAATTAAGTGAGTGCAAAATCGCAGTCGTGTTCTATTTGGGAGATACTCATAAACCAGAAGGGCTTCAGAATTATCTTCTCAGTGGCTCATCCGACCCGAGTAGCTAACTTCAGTGAATGAAAGTAATTATTAGTTAAGTTTTCTTCGATGTTTCGTTTAGAAAAACAAAACGATCGTTTAAAATCGTAAAACGGGGCCCCGTCGTAAAAAAAAATCAAAAAAAAATAAAATAAAACGGACCTCACCACCACCATCGATTCATATATAAATAGGAATTTCAAACCCGGGACATACTTCAACCATCCTAACCAGAACTGTACATCCAGATGGCATTCACTAAATTAAACCCCCATACTAAGCATCGAGAATTTTCGGGACTTCCAGGTGCAATAGGCATAACTATTGGATTACCAATCTTAATCACCTTCTTTGCATTAGTAACCAATGAAACCTATTCCCTTCAAGGAATAAATCTCGATATACCGGCCATCGTTGCCCAGCTCCCGCAATCCAAACAAGCGTGGATTGAATTATGTTTTAATAAATCATGTTGGATCGTTTATTTGAGTTGGTTTTTCGTATTGGTGGGATTAGATCATATCTTACCTGGGAAAATTATGCATGGGGTTGAATTACGCGATGGGACAAGATTAGAATATAAAATTAATGGAATGGCTATGTCATCGACATTGATTGTATTGATATTGGGGAGATTATATCAATCGGAGGGTTATTATTTACCGGAATTACAATTTATTTATGATAATCAATTAGAATTAACTATTGTTACGATAATTTTTTCATTTATGTTAGCGGTATTTGTTTATTTAATTTCATTTATTCCATTACGTAAACCTAATGGGTTCAAAACTAATGAACGTGTTCTTTCGGTGAATGGAAACACGGGGAATCCAATCTATGATTGGTTTATTGGTCGTGAATTAAACCCAAGAATTGGAAATTGGGATATTAAATTATTTTGTGAATTACGTCCAGGAATGTTATTATGGCTTTTGATCAATTTATCATGTATTCATCAACAATATCATACCAATAATGGACAGGTTACTGATTCGTTGATTTTGGTGAATGTTTTACAAGCATTTTATATATTTGATGGAGTATTGAATGAAGATGGATTATTAACTATGATTGATGTTACTACTGATGGGTTTGGGTTTATGCTTAGTTTTGGAGATTTAGCTTGGGTCCCATGGGCATATTCTTTACAAGCTAGATATTTAACTATTCCAGGCAATGAAATTATATTGGGTAAATTTAATTTATGTTTAATTTTGGCAATTAAAATTATTGGATTTTATATCTTTAGATCAGCTAATAAACAAAAATCAGATTTTAGACAAGGGAAATTGAATCATTTGAAGAGTATACCAACAAAGACGGGATCTAAATTATTGATTGATGGCTGGTGGGGACTATCTCAACATATTAATTATTTGGGTGATTGGTTAATTGGCTGGTCTTGGTGTTTACCAACTGGATTCCAAACTCCTTTGACTTATTTCTATGTGGTTTATTTTGGATCATTGTTATTACATAGACAAATTAGAGATGATGCTAAATGTGCTGGTAAATATGGTAAAGATTGGGAAGAATATAAAAAGAGAGTTCCTTATAAAATCATTCCATATGTTTATTAAAAACACTTGTGTAGATTACTTATAATATATAAATAAAAAGTACAAACCCACTAAAGTCTACTCATTCTTTTTATCGTAATCAACTTGTTTTTCAAATGATGAATAAGTAACTTCTAAAGCGCCAAGCCATTGAATAGCAACATATAAAATTGACAATAATAATAATGAAACAATTATACCCAGCCAAATACCAGAAGTAAAGAATTGATATTTAGTAAATAAGTTGTTAACTTTAGTTTGATTAGTCTGGGCTATAGCAATTGGTTTATCAAAGATAGTAACTGGTTCATCATTTTCACCATTAACTAATGATTCAGCTTGTCTAAAATCATCTTCAATTTCTTGTTCAAGCTGTTCGTTATCGTCAACGTCTTCATCTCTCTTATGAAGTTCAGCGTCTTCTTCATCACCATGATGGAAATAATCATCCAACATTTCATTTAAATCATTAGCAAATTGTTTTAACTTTTTATGATGTTTAAAACTTGGATTTCCTTGAATAATCAAATTTTCATGACCTTTGTTTAAAAATTCATCAATTGTATGAATTTGATCATCTTCAACGTCAATAATAATAACATTCGCATTGGAGTCTTGTTCATCACTTCCATATTTAACAACACATGATTCACTGATTTCAAAATGTAAATCGTCAACCGATGGATAATGAACATGATTTAATATGAATCCATCGTAGTCGGTAGTATCTCCTTTGGATAATTGTTTAACTCTATAAATATACAATTGTTTGTTACTGTCTTGTTGAGAACATACGGATTCACTATATTGTAATACTAATGGGGCAATGGATTTAGATTCAATTATATAATCATTAGTGTTTAATGATAGTTGATTATTATTATTAGAATAGAAAATTGCAGTATCTGAAAATGCATTTACTAAAGATGTAATTGATAATGTAGATGCTAATAGATTCAATCCTTGAAACTTCATTGTGTTTATGCAAATTGGTGGGTACTGGAGGATAGATTAATGGAATAGTTAAATGAAGAAAATGGAATCTTTTTTTTTGGGAGTTCAATTTGATTGATATTTTGAATGCATTTATTAGGGAAACCAATTTTCAAATGAAGAATTGTATGCTTATTATTATTCACAGAAACTTTTACTATAAAATGCTATAATTAGACTTAAATAGATATATTTGGTGAAACCAGGAAAGTCACTTCTTTACCTTTTTGATAATGGAGATCCTTTCATTCTATATTAAAAGAATTGTCAATATGCTACTGGAAATCTTCAACTACCGGAATTTATGTATCCCACGTGACTTGACTTTTTTTTTTTATTTGAAAAATATTTCCGAGGGTTCTTAACTTTTTATAAAGACGCTCTCATACTGTTGATATTCGATTATGATTACTCTCTTCTACCAAGACTTATAGGATAGACTCATATTCAATAATTAAGAACAAATAATATATAGACAATGCCAATGCCAGATATTCCAAGGTATGTGTTCATTTTTTATCATTACAGTATCCCTAATTGCAAAAATGATTTTAACAAAATGACTATGGATCAAGCATCCTTGTTAAATCCAAAATCTCCAATTGGGAGGGGGAGGCTGACTGCCCTAGGCATACTTACTAACATATCTGTATATAGATCAGTCGTTCAGAAATTGATGTTCTTTACCGGTGCTATGATAATATTACCAATTGTCACCTTCTTCTTATGTCAATATTTATTTAATAATAATTCCATAGTGAGTGGAGGGGTTGCAGCTTTAATGGCAAATGTTGTATTGATTGGTTATGTTGTTGTTGCGTTCATGGAAGATACAAGAACTCCAGAAGAAATTGAACAAGAATCAAAGAAACAGATATAGAAATGGTTAGTGTTACTGTGTATATATATAAGCTTAGTTACTTAGAAAAATAAAATGCCCTGCGCTTTCGAGTTTTTCACTCTACTCTTCTTTACTCTGTATAGTACAATAAACAACTAGTGATTGCGATGGTCCATCAATTGTCATTGGTATCATCTATACCTCATTCCAACTACCTACAAACATTAGCTACATTACAAGCATTAACTGGTTTATTATCACCACAACCAATATCAACATATACTCTAACAACAAAACCAAATCAAACTTTTAAACCAAAATTTGAACCAGGTAAAGTAAATCAAATAGAACAATATTATATGAAATGTACAACCCATTGGAGAGATGAATCATTGGATATAAGTGAACCCATCTTATTAAATGATGATACTGGGAATCCAGTTTGGGCAAGAAGATTATTTAGTGACGACAATCCAGAAGAACGAGTTTGGACATTACAAATTAGTGATATACCAATTGCCGGGAAAACTCAGGGCTGTTGTCAACAAACCATATATGAAAGTACTTTAATACATACCCATACAAGAATTGACCCTCCTCCTCCTCCACCTCCCATTAAAACGGAAGATCCAATTCCTGTTAATGATGTGATTCCAATTGATATTGATGATGATGATGATGATGATGATGATGATATTCCTTTAACTGAGCTTAAAAAGGAAGTAGTAGTGGATAACAAGGAAGAAATTAAACTTGATGATTTAGATGATCTAATACAAATAGACTCTCCCGAACAGGAAGAAGTACAAGAAGTATCAATTAAACAAGAAGAGTCTAAACCTGTAGGTGATAAAGTCGACGAAAAAGTCGAGGAAGCTAACAACAACAACGACACTACTGCCGCCGAAGCCCTTGAACTTGAACAAAGAAGATCATCATTTCTTTTATTCTTACAGGATTTAGGATATGAAGTTATAAATCAATTTTGGATAAAAGGGATCCGATTTTTCCATGGAGATATTATAATTGAAATATTTAAAGTATTAATTAGAGATGATGCTCCTGATGCTCAAACTGATCCAGCCAAAATCAAATTGAAATTATTAGATGAATCAAATAATTTCCAAATTAAAGTTTATATAAATATCCCCAAATCAACTGATGTTGAACAAATTAATCATGGAATTAAAGATTTAATTAAATTACAAGATTTCTTGAAGAATTTATTCGTATTGGAAATACCTGATAGAATGTACATGGATTCACGGGTAGTACTAGCCAGGAAGTAGTCATATATACATGTATTATTTAGTTCTAATTGTAAAGAATTTATCATTTCTTGGATTTATATCTTTAATTGCAAATGAACCTTCAATTTCACCCTTTTCCGGATCAATCGTATTGGGAAGATCTTCAATCTGTTTCAATAACTTATCCAAACTCAATGGTTCTTCAGGAATATGATCAGATGCAATCAATCTAAATATAGAATCATTACTGGAATATATTTCTTTCCGTTCCCCTTCATTCTTATATAAATGATTAATAAAAACCATTTGTGATTTTAATGATGATATTAATTCTTGTTCTCTTTCTTGAGTAAGATCCAGTAGTCTTAATCCTGACAATTTTAACATCTTTCGTATTGTTTTGGAATCAATTTGAATATCTTTCATAAGTTCATCATTTTGTTGAATTAACTCTTTGACTGACCAAGTTGAATTATTAACGAAATTTTCTATTTCTTGCTTGGTTTGTAATGTTGATATAAACCGTTTGGTTTGTCGTATAGATACCACCGAGGATCTTCTTACAATTCTAGTTAACATTTGTCCTATGATTTTACCTTGGGACATGTTCTATACGAAGTGATTTGATAAAAAAAATTTCAATACTTTTTCGCTATGCCTCCACCAAAAAGCAGAAGAAATGAGTTCTAGGAATATCTAACAGATATATTTAAGAAAGCCCTGCAATTATTCCATCTGAGAAACTTGAGATTTGAGAACTATATAAGGAGGACGAAGTCCCTTATATCTTAGTTAGCTAATTAGTTAGTTTAATAATAATAATAATAATCATCACCAACCCCAACAATATTCAACAAGTCTTAATTTTATTAAGACTAATTTGATTTATACATAGTTTAAAAGTAATTGTAAATACACATCCAGAAACATACTTAGTTGTATTAAGACGCTTCCAAAACCCACACACTACTAAGGTTTGGGAAGCGTCTTATGTAACTAAGTATGTTTTTGGATGTTGAATTACAGTTACTTTTAAACTATGTATGTATCAATAGTGGTGGAGGATACAGAGTGGAGGATCTTTACTTTTCTAATTTTATTACGATTATTTACTTTAATATACAAAAGACATCTATAAACCAAATCAACTTACTACTTCTTAGACTTCTTGTTTGATTTGCTCTTATTCAACTTATCCAATTCAGCTTTAGTCTTTTCAATCTTCTTTCTTTTCTTGGATAATTCATCTTGTCTAGCTTCTTTCTTTTCAATACCATATTGCATCTTCTTATACAACTTACGTTGTTTATTAGTCATCATAATCTTCTTCAATTCCTTTTCTTCAGCTTCTTCATCTTCTGGAGCAGATCTCTTTTTAGATTTCTTGGAAGAAGGTTCTTTAATTTCCGAGAATTTAACACCAGCAGCTTCCAATTCTAATTCTTTTTGAGCCTTAAGGTCTTCATCCTCCTCTTCTTCTTCTTTGTCAACATCTTCTTCATCTACTTCAATTTCTTCCTCTTCTTCTTCCTCTTCTTCTTCTTCTTCTTCTTCGGCACCTTCTTGAGCAGCCTTTGCTTCTGGATCATATCCACCAGCATCTCCCCATGGAGATAAATGTGGAGGTAAAGTTTCACCAGGAGCATAAGCATTCACCGGTAATAATTCACTCTTATTTATACAATCAAAGATCCATTGTGGTTGAATATATGTTCTACCAGCAACTTTTTGTAAAATCTTAGGTCTATCAATAATTTGATGAGTAATATTAGATAAATCCAATTTCTTAAATGCGACAGGATCTCTTAATTTTAATTCATCCAAAGCAATTTCAGATACAATTGAACCACCACTTGATAAGATACAAAATTCTAGAATATCCAAAGGAACTTCACGACCAACATAAAAGATGAATTTAGAAAATAAACTAGATGTTGGAGATGCATATTTGGAAGGTTGAGATAATAAATCACCAGTAGTTTTGTTAGTAGCTTCGAATTCATCCAATTCAACTTCTTCGACATTAGCAGATGCATCTTCTTGTCCATTTTCTTGTTGTTCTTCTTCAACATCTTCATCAGCTTTGATGGCTTTAGAAAGTTCATCTTGAGATAATTCTTTTCCTTCTTCAGTATTAGCTTCGTCATCTTCTTGTTGTTGTTTCTTTTGTTCATGGGGTAATAAAGCACCAACACCTTGTTCTTTAGATTGTAAAACATAAGATGATAATCCACCAATTCCTTTCAATTTCTCAATATCAATAGTTGGAGGATAAATCAAATTGGAATCATTATATAATCTGTATAAAACAAAATGTAATAATGTTGAATAAAATTCTAAAAAGGTTAACATGATTCTAAAATCAACATCTGTTGGGATATTAGTCGGGAATTTAAATGGAACTAACCATCTAATTTCTTGGCCTTTAACATTAGCTTGATAATAAACCCCTTTAATTGAAACAAATACTTTTTTAATTAACTTTTCTTTAGCAACATAAGCTAACCATTGATTACATAATCTTTCAGCTTCTTTAGTAACTCTAGTACTTACTTTATCAGTTGCAGGCATATTAGCAAATAAAAATAACATATTTAAAGGATCATCAATATCTCTTAATGCATCTAAAAATGTGGGATATCTTTCTTTAATAATATGTTCCAAAGTATATTTTGGTCGATTAATTTCCAATTTTTGAGCATCACTAACTTCACCTCTACCTAATGCTCGTTGTAATTTCTTAGCAAAAGTCTTATGTTCTCTGAATTTAGCCAATACTGGTTCATGCAATAAGTATTGAATATCTTTAGCATAATAAAAAGTAACAGGAGCAGTTGATCCTTTGTTGGCCTTCTTTTTATTTCTTGGTTCACGAGGATAAATTCCTTTGAAGATACAAAGACGACGGAAATCAGCTAATGAAACTTGTAATTTACGAACAGCTTGTGTTCTGGTTATGAAGTTCTTGGCATTACCTGATGTTCCCTTCTTCTTTATCTTACCCATGATTTGTTCTTTGTTTAGTTGTATCTATATAGTATAAGAATAAACAGATTAAATTAAAATGAAAAATTAATTTTTTCTTTCACTAAGGAAATCACATCTCATCGCGCACCAAAAAAAATCTCTGCGAGCGAAGAGAGATGAGCGACTAAAATTATTCACGTGACTTCGAATATATAACCATGAATCTGCTCTTCCAATTGTGCTAATACAGGGGTACCTAAGAGTAGAAGTTATTGAAAGAGAAATCGAGCTGTAGATTTTACCGTCCTGTTCCCACCAAAGGTTAGTTTATGTTTATTTCAAAGATTCAATGATCTTTATATCTGGGGTATATTTCTCTTATTCGTTATTCTTGATCACAGTTTGAGCCAGCAAGATACAAGAAGAAGGGTAAATGGAAGAATAAGTTTAAGCATTCGATATGGATTAAATTGTGGTAATGGTAGAACTTGATTTGGTTAGGGGAAGGCTGCGAAGAATTTGCCTTGGAGTTCAACGATGGTGAAGAAATAGACAGTTTGGTGAGAGGCGGGCTACACATATATCTCTCTCTCCATGTTTGATATTCTTTAATACAGGCCAGCTTATTAGCTAAATCTCTATAGAAAACTTACATACAGTACTTGTTAGAACCAAGCTCGTTTTTTATACCAAGGGTTATAAATGACTTTCCTTGAATAGGTATTGGAGTCAATCACGGTAAGCTTGGAGAAGATGTCGTCACATAGATATCGAGTCATACTTCCCACTAATCTCTTTGCTTGGCGAACAATATCAAATGTACCTTCCATAATTGGATGAACCCATAATCCTAAATCTCTATTTTGTCCTCTTTTCCAATATGTAATTCCAAATATCCCAATTTTTAACCCTTCAACATAAATATTATTCTTAAGAATCTGTTCAGTAACAAATGAATAGAAATGAGTTAAATCTTCCTGATTTTTATGTTTATTTATTTTTAATCGAATAAGATAACCATTCTTATAAAGATCCAAATTAGGAACACTCGCAGCTCTCATTAAACAATATTTATAATCGTCCTCATTAGATAATTCCTCCAAGAATGGTTTTAAATCATTTTCATTATCAATTACAAGATGAACTTTTGCTGCCAGATCATTTCCATATTTCCAAACATGCCAAACATGATATAATAATTGGTTTTGTCCCAAGAGTCTATGACGAGCTATGGAACCTTCAAATGTCATCCTTGACAGTTCATCAATGATAGTTCTACTCATGGGTATCCCGGAATACAGACCAAGCTTAATGGGAATTGTGGGGCCTCTTTCCACTTCGTTCAACACTTGTAATGTAGTTGGTAATACTGGATATATTGATGACATTCCTGATTCAGTAGAGGATTGACGAAGGGGTTCCTTTTTCTTATTTTTTGAAATCAGATTGGATTCTATGTTATTGATGATCATATTGGGTTTGATGGCATTCCTTGAAAATGATCTCCAGCGGCTTTTTCTTGAATTGATTGTTTGTACTGTTTCAGTTAATTCATCTTCTAATGAGGTATCATCTTCTACTGGTGCTTCTTGTTGTTCTTGTTCCTCTAGTTGGAAATTGTCTCGATATCCACGGGAAGTTCCTTTTGTTGAAAGTTTTCTCTTTAAGTTTTGCCATGTGGTTGATTTCTTCATGGTATATGCTTTAGTGTTACTAGTCGATGCATTTGCTGCCAAAAAAAAAAAGAATTGGCTGCCAAATTTTATAGTGGGAATTTACAATAAGTGCGAAATCTTAATTAACAATTTAAATAAACTAATCTACATACAATAAATCAAAACAAGATAAATGATGGGTAAGTATAAGAATCTCCCTTAGACATGTTCCTTCGATCAGTAACTGAATATGGACTACTCTTGTAGCATATCTTAATAATTTCTATTCATAGTAACCCCAAAAGATAATAATTTAAATAAATAAAAAGTTTTGTACATAATGACAGGTGGTAGTGGCTAGAGAGAGATCTGGAACCGCGATTTTATTTTTTTTTTCAAATACAACAATTGTCTGTCAGAAGTTAGAATTTATTTAGATTAATTAAATTAAACACAAAATGAAAAAAAAAGACAAATAGCCTTTTGCGGTAAACATTACAACCACGAATATGGAACAATTAAACTCGCCTTGATTTATTTACAGATGTCGTGTTTCTTTGAAAAAGATTCAGATTTAATGAATATTTCATTTTTATTAAAATAACAATAATTAAGAAAGTAAGTAAGTAAGAAGGGAGACTATAAAAGTTAACACAAAATATTAAAAATAAAGTAAAGGTTCCTGGTCTTTGATATATATATAGTAGTAATAGTCTATCTTGTACCAAAATATGCACCCAAAATGACACCAATAATGACAAGAATAAGAACACAAATAAAGAAACACCACATTTTCTTCTTTCTTGCTGCTTTAGCACTTTTAACTGCTTTATTAGTATGACCAACCCCTTGTTCAATATCATGTTGTGCAGTATCGATTTGTTCTTCAATTTGTTGGATCGGTTGATCTTGTTCAATTACTAATTCTTCCATATCATGAAATAATTGAGTTAATTCAGCCATTGTTTTTTCTAATTTCAATAATTCACGATGTCTAACTTGAACTTCATTCAATACTGTTCTAGCTTCACCTCTTCTATTAGATTGTAATAAAGCCAGTTGGAAATATTGTTCACTTCCTTCTTCAACTACTGCTTTAACTTCTTCTTCACTAGCATCTGGCTTAACGATTCTATATTGTCTTTCAGCTTGGACTTTAGTTTGTTCACGATTTTGACTTTCAATCAATCTATATTCTTGAATTAAGTCTAAGAATCTTTTTCTACAACTTTCAGCTTGATCAAGTTTGGTTTGATCACGGGATTGTACTGCAGCTTGGGTTTGAACATTCTTGATACGGGATTTAAGTTCTAATTGTAACGATTGAGCTTCATTAACAAGTGATTCAATTTGTTGAGAATCATATTGAGTATCTTCATCATTTAAATCTAATTCTTGTAAGAAACTTCTTTGTTTTGTTTTAATAAGATTAATGATGTTTGAATAATGATCCAATTGAGAATTAATATCTTGAATTTCATTCATAAATTGAACAAAATCATCTTCATTTGATGAATTATATTTACCATTATTATAGTTACTCATTTCATATGAATCATTCTGAGGATATTGGTTTCGTTTGTATGGATTACTCATTTTGAATTATTGTATCTATATATATATCTGTCTTTGTCTCTGTCTCTGTTCTCTCTCTTTTGTTCTATAGTTGAGAGTATGAATAATTATGTGTCGATTAAATTAATTTAGCAAGCGCTCTGCTCGGTTGTTTTTTTTTTTTCTTCCTCGTATGGGCTATGTTAAAAGTGGTGAATGTATGCCTTAATAAATTTCAATAACAGCAGACAAAATTTATTTAAAATCGTCATTTGAAAAAAATGTATTTGATTATGTAATCAAGATTTATATTTTTACACGATATCTTCCCACTCTACTAAATATAAATTAATATAATATCTAAATTATTATTTATCTTTTAAATTTCAACGTAAATAGTTGGCTTCACAAATTAGTTGTAACTACCGCCCTAGCTTTAGTTTTAGTTAGAAATTGTTGTTCTCCCTCCCCCCCCCTCATTTCTTCCATTGTTCCGTTATTTAATGTCAAACTAATGACATCACTTAATCCCCAGATGTATGTCCCTTCTAAACATCAAGCAGCAGGTCATGATGGATGTTTAACATTAGAAGATGGATCTTTATTTATTAAATTAACAGTACAACAAGAAATAGACTTTTATACCCAAACTCAAACAAGAGATAATTCAAATTTAACAGAAAATGATTTACCGGGTTCTAAATTAATAGATTGGATGCCTGTATATATGGGTACATTAACTCAAGGTGATATAACTAAAGATACTCTGATTCATAGTGATATTACAATTGAATCTACTACTACTTCCCAAAAACAATATATTGTGTTACATAATTGTTATCATGGTTTTAAACATCCTAGTATTTTAGATATTAAACTTGGATCTAAACTTACTGATGATCAAACTACTCCAATTGAGAAAATTGCTAGACTTCAAAAGGTTTCGGAATCAACTACAAGTGGATCACTTAGTTTCCGTATATGTGGAATGAAGATATATAATGGTGATTCAGATTCAAAACCACATCGAGAATTATATTCAAATATGAATGATTCTTCAGTTTCGGTTAATCAAGAGAATATTAATGAGAATTATCTTGAATTTAATAAATTTTATGGTAGATCACTTGATCTTCAAAATATAAAACAAGGCATTTCATTATATTTTGATCATCATTTAAGGAAACTTCCAAAGGGTCAATTTATGATTCGAAAATTGATACTGAGTTTTCATAAACGATTACAATTATTATATAATTGTTTATTGGATTATGAGATTCGAATTTTCTCGGGATCCTTGTTGTTTATTTATGAAAATGATTTGAATAAATGGGCAGGTGCGTTGGATGGAGATGACGAGATGTATGAAGAGTTGGATCCTTTGATTCATGTTCCAATTATTGAAGATGAGGATGAGGATGAGGATGAGGATGATGAGAACCCTCAAGACAACGTGAATTCCCCCTTGAGTGCATTAAAGTTGATAGATTTCGCCCATGCAAAATATGTAGAAGGTCAAGGTCATGATGAAAATATCCTTCAAGGAATTGAAAACTTGATTGATATATTTCAACAATTATTGAATGAACAAATCGATCTAAAACATTAACGTGAAATTAAAAATAAATACATGATACAAAAATTCTATAAATACAGTGTAATTAAATATAAAAAGGGTCTTAACGGTAATACTTCTTTTCAAAGTATCTAACAATATTAAATCCAATGAATGCAAATGCAAATGCCAATTCAAAGGCAATATCCCCACCTAATCCAATTTGTCTAGCTAAAACACCAGCATACCAAGTTTGATCCATACCAATGACAACCCCGGCAACACCACAACAGAATCCAAATGTTCCGGCAATTCCAATTGGATAACTGGTTTTATCTTTATAATTTTCATAATCATAAGCAGAAAATTTCCCCTTATTCCAAACAAAATGTTCAGCATACATTAATGATTCATAAATTGCAAGATAATAAGCAATTAAATTCATGAAATTTTCCATAACACTTTCAAATTTATAAAATGCAGGAATTGAAATAGCTAAAGTAACAGCATTACCAACAATAGTCCAAACAATTCTTGGAATTTTAGATAATGGTTCCCAAACAGTTTGAGCAGATAATGCCATTGAATACATATTTGGAACATTATTGGCAACTGTAGACATGGCAAGAATAACACAACAGAATTGTCCAAATCCACCTAAAGAATCTTCAACAATAATGGCATAAACTAATCCACCAATGGAATTAGTATTATATAATTCAGTCCAACGAGGATCGGCACTAATACCAGTAGCACAAGCAGCACCTAAGATCAAGGTAAATAAAAGTGGAAGCCATAATCCAAAGAAAATAGCGAAAAAGATTTTGTATAAATTGACATTACGTGGTTGATAAACAGTATAATCAGAAGCATAAGTAGTCCAACCAGTTGCAAAACCATAAATGGTACCACCAAAACTAAGAACACCACCAGCAGTAATTGGACCACCTTCAAATGGTGCACTGGTGAAATTACCACTTCTGGCAAATTGAACAATAATAACAATGAAAACAGCAATATTGGGGATCCAAGACCATTTTTCATAAACATGAATAACTCTATATCCAAAGAATGTAATTAAAATAGTGGCAACAACCAAGATTAAACAACCAGCCCAAGGTGGTAAACTATTATTGTTAACAATGTGTAATAATTGTGCACTTGACATGATATTAACAGCACCCCAACCTACACATGCAACAACATTAATAGCAGCAAATATTCTTGTTGTTATATCACCAATTAAAAATTTGGATAAAATCATTTGTCTTAACCCTAAAACTGGTCCAAAACATGAAAAGAATGCAACTGAAAATACACCCAAGGCAGAAAAGAATATAATAACTAAAACAGCTTGACCAAATGCTAATTCAAATACAGTAATACCAATTGCACCTAATGAAAAAGTAGCAATAACAAGATTGGCAGAAAGCCACATTGTGGCGGCATTCCAAATTGATGTATCGGTTTTTTCTTCATCTGTTACTAATTCAATACCTTTAGTTTCGGCGTTAAGTTTATGAGCCCATTTATCAATGAAATTAAGATGAGTCACTTCAATTGAATCTTGAACTATTTCGTTATCATAACCAGCAAATGATGAACTTTTATCAGTATGTTTTTCAAGATCTGATGACATACTGGATGTAATTAATTGGTTTGGTTTGAAGGAGGGATTGGTTATAAGTTTATACGAGATAGATAGAGAGAGAGAGAGAAATGAAAAAGTTTATACTTTTTTAAAAAATGGAGATTAAAGATTTAATTTATATAACAAGAAAAAAGTAACTTAAATTTTTGAAAAATTCATCTCATGAGGAGAATTTATTTTTATTTTTTATCTTTTTTTTTTTTTGATGCCCTATACCATATCAATTATTTTTTAATTGACGTAAAGTTTCTTTTTTCAAACAATAGAAAAAAATAAAATTATTTTCTTTGCTTACGAAAAGAACTGGTAATATCCGTCGGACAAACTCTCATTATCCATACATTACCATACAGATGCGGCGGTTACGATATGTAGAGGTTTGTAAATATGTATGTCTTCACACTACTCATTACTTCTACTTCTAACAAGTAATACTAATAATCAATTACCTGTGATTCATTTGTGGAAATTCATTCCTATGTGAGTCAATGCGGGAAATGGCAAATGAGAAAATTCTGTCAAAGATGTGCCACGGCTTATATTTTTTTTGTAACCTTATTTGCATGTATCTATATATATGTATATGTCTATAAATAAAGGTGACAACAAATGAAACATATTTTTTATAAATGAGAATTATTTGATAGGATCATTTATTTTATTTTTACGAGATGGATTTAACCGGATAAATTTAAAAATGTTTTTTGTGTTCCATTTTGACGTATCAGAAGTCAAAAATAATATGATCTAATTAATTAATCTAATTAATCTAATTATTATGTCAATTACCATCGGACATTCGTAATAAACTTTCTATAGTCCGACAGTGTTTGTTTGCCTCCCCATCTCGTTTCTTTTATTAGTGTCGCGTGCAGAAAATATCAACTATACAACGGTCGTGAGGCAGCCGCTGACCTAAAACAGCCATATTTGGTATTATTCTAAGGTGGATTTCTTTTTCCGTTCTGGAAAATCTATCTGGATCTAGGCATGACTCCGTCTATTCCTTGTTTAACCGATATCAATAAAATAAAACCTTTAGCTAGTTGTAACGAATTCGTTTGTATATTTGAATCTACTCTCTCGCCGCACCCTCGGCTTCTGTACCCGCGATGACTAACATTGTGTCACGCACTGCCTTATTCGATCATGCTTTCTCCCAGTTGCAAAAACGGAAAAATCATGGGCAAATGGGAAAGGATACAGGTAGTAAATCAACAGCATTGGTCTCCTATATACTTGTACATTGACTACACTACATAGATAGTAACCAGGTCAAAATAGATAAGATTATCTTTAGTTCTATAAAGATAGTGATGCATAGACTTTTCTTGTTTGTAAACTTTAAAACCACAAAAGCAAAGTTCAAACACCGCTTTCAATCACCGATTCAGTCGCATTGTCTACAGCCTATAGAGTATTGGTCATAGCTTATGTTGGAATATCTTGTTGACTGTGACATCAGTTGAACCTCGTATCAACACATTTTCATTAACAGACCAAATTCTCATTGGGTCTTATTGCAATCGATATGTATGATCAGGTGCATAATTATGGATAAACCAATGAATATAGTCCTCCTTGTCTAGATCTAGTAGAAGAATGGAATT